CATCTTCATCCGCTTATCTGGGTTTTTCTGTAATTAATTAATTGTAATTAATGCGATAGTCCCAGCCCTAATATAAAGGCATGAGATTTTATTGCTTATGGTCTTAGCTAATAGCTAATAGTAGCCTGGGCCCTGCTATCAGCTAACATATCTTTAAGTGTCAGTATGGAGTGCTTGGACTTACAGATGAGAGAGGTTGACCGACAAGTCCACCCGCTCAAAAACTTTTCCTTTAAAGCTAAACAAACAAATCTGACCCGCAATCAGCACTATCACATTTCAAACTCCCATTTACACCACGCTGACACTGTAGCAATGCCAAAGCAGTGCCAGCAGGGAGACGGGTACAGACATACCACAGAGGTATTGAGACCTTGACCGGAGGAAAGCGGCCGTGGGGGGGGGGGGCTTTTCTCTCATCACCCAGGGAGAGTCTCGTCATGTAGCAGCAGACGTGACGCTGTACCGCCTCCAAGCTGCCTTATTTACCCGCACACAGGCTCGACAGCTGTTTGTAACTCCCTTTTAGCACAGAGTCCTCATCACTCTTTGGAGATGAAGCTTTTATGAAGTTAAGAGTGGGAGGTGTGTGTTGGTACGTGACTGTGTGTCATTTCTTTTACTCTTTTATTCAATATTTTTCAGTTTGTGATAATTAATGTCTTCTAAACTCTGTTATGAATTCCCTGAAGATGCTTCATCACCTCTCTGGCAGCAGACTTTGTAATTGGTGGAATCTCAATGGGGTTTTGATCATTTTCAGATTATATTGTTATTTTTATTTAGGAATTGTGTGGGTTATAAGAATGACTAATGTTACCTAGACTGGGAATATTGTGCCCTTATACTGCCATGCCATTTACCTTTCAGTGAACACACAAAAAAAGAGAAAATGTTTCCCCAAAAAAATCTTCCAAAACATTTCCATCTTACTCTGTGGTAATTACAATGTGTCAGCGCCGTTTATTGATAATAGCAGGGATCAGATTGAATTTAATTATATAAACTCTGACAGCCATCTTTTTTTTCAAATAATGGCTGTCATCACATTCTAAATATTTTTTTCTTTTTCCCTTAATGAGAAAAAAAAAACATGCATGAAATACCTCATTATGTCTGTGTTTTACAGGCTTTTGGCACAGGTTAGTGAAAGGTGTCACTGCCAAAAATGCTCCAGGGCCAGGAAACTACAAATGAAACATTTGGCGTCAAAGAAAAGTTATTTAGTGGTAAAAAAGCAAGCATCTGAGATACTGCAAACTCGGATTTTGACAGCCTATTTTTTCTGCAGCAATTATCTGAGAGGCCGTTTTTATGTACATAATGTTTAAGAAAAATGTAAGTAAGTTTGGTTTACAAATAATTTTAAGTCAGTATGGTTTCCTGAAGTTGCAGTGGCAATCTTGAAGATTTCCATGTTGTCAAATGTTACTAACTATTAGTAATTAATAGTGATTAAGTCTACACTGATGAAAACATTGCAATATTTATATATTTTCAGTATTACAGATTGGTGTCTGGAGTGACATATTCCCCCCCAAAAATGCTGGAAGTTTGCAAAAATGTGATTTAGAATTACTATTTGAGTGAAAGTTTGGACTCTTATTATTGAAAGATGAGCTTCAGGTTTTCAGAATTGTGTGCTTAGTTCAGTTTTTCGTGTGTATACAATTGAAAGAAACTATAATACAACATTTTTTCCAAGAATGTCCCCACAGACACCAATTTCGTATTACTGAAAATATATAAATATTACAATAATTCCATCAGTGGGCCATAGGAAATAGACAGTGACTTGGCAGACATTTATTTAAATGAAAATCTTTGAGCTGGCCAATTAAAATACACAAGGCCTTTTAAATGAAGCCTTGGACAAGCAGACCATAAATTCTACACCACTGCTGGTTCACATTCCCCCTTATTTATATACTGTACATCTCTTTTCACTGGTGTTTCATACACAGTAAAATTTGAAGTTATGCGTTTTCAGAAATGTCAGGCAGTTCGGACTAACTACAGGCAAGGCACCAACAACTGGACTTGTTCCTGATTGGGTCCCCTCATTAAATAACCAGTGAAATGTTTCCAAGCAGTGCAGCATTAAACTGGATAAGCATCCAGCAGCAAGTTCACCTCAATTGAAATGCAGTCAGTAACCTAATCCAAATAGCATAATATTAAAGTTACTTTCCGTTACTTTTGGATTTTCTTAACACCAAATATGCAAAAGACAAGAGGAAAGAAGATGGCTTTTGTATTCTATAAAACAATAGAACAATGTGACCTTGGAAAACAAAATGGAAACCAAGATTTTTAGCATCAAAAATGTGTCCTCTACTCAGCGTATTTTTCAAACTGTAATCCTTCGAATAATCCTCAATGTTACTAAATGTGAGTGTAATCTGATTACATATTTTTTCTGTAACTGTGATGCAGTGATTCCCAACCTGGGGGGTCCCCAAAACTTCATGGGGGGTCACAAGGGCTTCTTGAATTTAAAAGGTGTAAGAATAATCTGCTCAAAACATTTAATCCTGATTTCTTAACTCAGTTACATGTAATCCATTACTCTCCAAGGCTGAGAGTAGTTTAAATCAACCTTTGACTGAACTTTATTCATTCGAATGACATTTGACAGATGAAAACGTATTATGAAACTTTTAACAATGTTTGAGGACAACTTGTAAATACCTAATATACCTGCAGTACTACATATTTAATATGTAAGAAAGAAGAAATGAAAACCTGTTCACTTATGACTGACATCTCGACTGAAGTGATTCACATCTGTCATTTGGATTGGACAAGATCTATAGAGCAGACAGCTGCCAAAGTCAAGTAGCACACTGGTCTGTCTCTCACAATAGTCTCCATTATGCTCCTGTGTCTTGTTATGTCTTCTGCATATAAACTACTGCCTGCTCTAGACCTAGAATCCAAAGTAAAACACATGAGAAATTTCCCCAACAACGGAGGACATAAGCATCCACACAAATACACATGCATGATAAAAGAAGAATATTTAAGACACTAGTGGTGGTAAAATATTCAATTTCTTTCTGCATTCCTCACTTTTCAGGAATGTCTGGAACAATGCAATCTTTGAGACAGCAAACCTCTTATCGTGGCACATATCCTAACATGCTAATTACCCCACACACAGTTTGAGTTCATTTATTATGCATGAAATAATCTAATATGATGACTGTGATAATTATGCGCACATAGATAAGATAAAAGAGTAGTAACCAATTATGGTGCTGGAGTTAGGAAAAGTAATTATTCTTTGTAGTGGAAAGAAGTCTCGGTTCGAAAAAAAAAAACCGGAGGGGGGGTTCAGTCTGTTTTTTTCGAGCTCACAGTGCTACAATTAACATGTGGAATCATGTATGCGCTCCCTGATAATGTTTAAGGAATATTTTCTTGATTAAGCATACAGTCACACAGATATGGCGTGTTGTTGTAAGCATTTAAGGATGTATAAGCTCTCACTGAGTGATAAAACCTGTACTCTCTAAAGCAGCTGCTGAGGTAAACTGCTTCCTTTAGTCATTTACAAATATGTCTGTTATGATAATTGTGCTCGCTCACTCCCTCAGCATCTTCACACACTCCAGAAATCTGACATGTTTACATTATTGCTTAAAAGGCGACATGAATCGACGCCTCGGGCCTTGTCAGTGGCGGCGGCAGCAAATCAGAAAGGACGCTGAAAAACGAAGGAGTGGTGCTCAGACTGGAGCGCTCGCAAATCAGACACGTGTTGTAGAGTTGTTAAATATTACCACTTCTAAAAATCAGGCCTTGGCGTGCGGTTAGGCCGCACCGCTGTGCAAACACACTTAACACGGCACAGCTTTCTTTGACAAATTATGTGCCTGCCACCGCAAATCACAGGAAACAGGGACTCTGCAGTAATTTGATTTTTCTGTGACTGTTTTTGGCTTGAATTGTGTTATAAATCAAACTTTTATGTGATGGAATGTGGCAGCCTGGAAACAGAGTTAAACGGGGCTTAATGTGTCGGCATCCATTTTGCCAGTCGTGAAGGAAAGAAATGCTTCACGGCTGCTCTTGATGAGCAAAGTTGACGAGTGAGTCACAAGAAAGAAAATGTAAAATTAATAAACTGAGCAAACAGGGGGTTACATAACCATATTTAAACAATAAAATTAAGTACTAATGTACAATTTGTACAAGATAAATAGACATTATCTGAGGGAGGATTGTCTTACTGACCTCTAACTAAAACCACATTTATCTGACTCAGGAGCACACACGTCATCTTCACACTCCTCCGGAAACCCATTACCCAGTCCACGTCTCCCTCGGACTGCCATAGTTGACTCATGATTACTTGCAGAGCTTAAGCTTCAGGCCAAACATGAAACTCTGAGACCAGTCAACAAAGCTCGGAGTCCAAAAGAACAATACTGAATCACTTTTAACAGGGTTGCCAGATTTTCTGATTCACACCAAACATCAGTAGCACGGGGGGGGTTCTTGGAAGAAACGTCTTCATGCTTCATGTAGGTGTTGATCCTGCAGTCATCTCAATAACAGGAAATAAAGGATAAGAAGGAACAAAGAGACTAAACTAGCTATGTGCTATGCTGCTTTAAACTTGAGGTTAACGTCAGTGACACTTTCAGCAAAGTCATAATGTTCTGAATGCAATGAAGTGAGGAAAGGAGAGAGCAAGGACACTGAATGCAGCCAAGTCGACAATTGCAGCGATGCCCGCGTTTCATACGGACAGCTGATGTTCGGAATAGCAGACCTCGAGCCACTTCATAGCAAGAATTTTAACTCCTGAGATTGCCTCAGAGCTACTCACAAAAAAACAACCTCTTTTACTAAAGGTAATC